TGTAAACATCGCTTCAAAAGATCTACCGCCATAATCGCGTTTGTCCATGCCGATGTAAATATCCGCGAGTAGCAACCATGATCGTTCCAAAAAGGGTGCGTCCTAAAGAGAAGAAGCTTTTTAGCATTTTTTAATTAAAGTTAGTTTACTGAGAAATGAAACCATATATGCTAAAAAATTAAGGTTATAAGATGCCAAACTCTTATTTGAAATTGTATCGGGGATTCAATATAGGGAAATGAACCACCACAGCCATCCGATCGTTTTTCATTCTAATATGCCACCAACTGCCATACATCTCTGTGCCATTTTCATAATCCACCTCAAGCAATGAAATACAAATAGTGGTTATCCAAAACTAACCATAACCACAGGTCACATATTTGTGACGCCAAGCTCAGGTAAGAAAAACCGGAATGTGTTTCTTCGAGTAAGGAATTGTAACTCAAAAAATCCATTGCTACATTTTCCCACATAAAAGAAAAGTTCCAGTTTTAAAGAATAGGCATATTTCGCGCTCCAAGACTTTCCTGAAGACGAAAGACGACATAATGCTAAAGCAGAATATGCACAATCGACGTAGAGAAGGCGGCTGGGGGTCACTAGCCTAGCCCTGAGACCACACCTCCCAGCAAAAGTACAATCGTGAAGTCTTAAGTGTCCCCGAAAACCAAAACGAAGAGTTAAATAAGCCAGCAAAGTATTACATATGCACTAGTTTTAGGGACTTTTTTTCCACTTTCTAAAGTTGACTTTTATGCCTTTCTCCAAAAAATTTGGAAATGTGACTAGTTTATTGTTTAAAGTGCTGCGGTAGCTGTTGGTAGGCAGTGTGGTGGCTACTTATTGACTCCCACGTCAATGAATCGGCGTGAACAGTTGCAGAGGCAGGCCACTTTTACCACAGAGGACTGCTGCTTGGGCACCATTGGTGCAAAGGCGTTGCACATACTTAGGCGATCCGCCAATCCCCATCTAAGGGACCAGGCATTGGGGAGGTTGTATTGGATTGGCCAGCATTGACTTTTTACATTTCCTATGAAAAATGATTTCTTCCCCTTTAGGGCCTCCTTGTTTTGGTGGTAAAAAAGGCAGATTGATTACTACAACCGCAATGGCGGTCAAGTGATATTTAACTTGATCTCCCTTTTGTGCAGGGAGAATGGAAGGGGGATGCTTATTTCCCTTATTGGAAGCAAGAGCCGAAACAACTCGATTTAATCTCCAAGTTGGCATCAAATTGCCTTTTTTATCTTAAAAATATTCCAATGCAATTTAGGTAGTATACAGGCAATCCATACGCCTAAACTTTTCAACTTACAATACTTTTAAATGACGTGCATTTGAGAGGGAGTTCTATTCTTACCCGTCTATTCTCTGGCTCGGCTAAAATCGAACACCTTTGCGAATTTTGCAATTGACGTAGTAAGACTTGACCACAAACACTTCGACTGCAATAGCAGTGTTTGACTATGTGACAAACGTCACTGTAAGATCGCTTGTTACTGGCAACGGTAGGCCTAAGAAGCTGTCTATCTAGGTAAAATTATTTTAGGATATTGGCGATGAAACAATGTCCAACAAATGGCTATTTTTAAGTAAACTTATCCAGTTACAAAAAAGTCAAACTGTTCCTAATTTGATTCGAATCGAAAAATTAGGCAATTCACTAATACTTGAAGGAGCGAATTAAAAACCCTGGCTTTCAAATAAGAAAATCAAAAGGGCCAGTGTGGTTTTAAATAGTCAAGACTAAAATAAGGTGAGTATAACTAATAAAAAAAGCTATTAGCACAATTATAATCCATGATCTATAACCGGGATAGAAGCTATTTTCGAGTCCCTTTTTAATAAAGGGGTTCGCCTCTGGAAGATGGAAAACAATGGAACCCTAGGAACGTCCATTTCTGTCTCACTTTGCCTTCTCTACCGTCCATTCTACCTCACCATGTATCACGCTGTTGGCTAATAATGATGCCGATGCTGATGCCAAGAAAAGATGTTCAGTATTTGGAACATAAGGAAATAGTGTCAATGGGATGAATAGAACGAGAGTGAGAATGAAATTGAGGTTGAATGTGGAAGTAAAAGTTGATGTCAATGAGGGTAGCAGCATCTACCTTCCATCCCTCATCATCCTACATAATCTCATCCTAAAATGCCAATCTTTTCACGTCCAAGCGCAGCGGCTGCATGAGACACGGGACAGGAGATAGAGAATCCTACTCTGCATTGTATTGCACTGCGATGCATTGCGTTGCCTTGGAGAAAAAGAATGTGGAGAAAAGAGGACTTTCCTCCCATGTCATGACTAGATCCTACCAGCCCAAGACGTAACTGCCCCTTAATGGGCAGCCTCTCTTATACATGTTGCACTTGTATCGCGTTGCATCGAGGTGGTGGAAATCAGACGCAATTGTTTTGTAGTCTTCAGCAAACCAACGATTTCTAGCCAACATTTGCCTCTGCAGTCCACCACACACACACAAACTCTCAAACGCACACACAAAAAAGAAAGCTTAGTCTTCTACAGGTAGTGATCGAAATGATGCATTCCTTAGAAGTGTGAGGTTGTGACTGGGTTGTGCGCTTCACCTAAGCTGAACGGATGAAGGCACACAAATCACTTTTCATTACAAGTCAGCCTGTCAATTACTACTCGCACACTCCTTTGTCAACGACCTGACATCACAATGCATGTAAAGGGAGTGAACGACAAATTCATGGGCTTTAAAGTCCATCTTCATAGATGGCTCCAATCTACCCACTTGCGTAGCTTTTACCACACCCTCTTCTCACTCGCTGCAACCGCAAACTAAGTGTCCCCACGCCCACACCAAGCACGATTGTAAGATGATGCTCTTGGCAACCTAACCTCAACTTGACATTCCCATAGGAGAGCACAGTGTAGCCTTACCGGTATTCTCTCCTATGCCAAGGTTCTCCTCAACATGATGAACGGATTTTGAGGGGCTCATAAATACAATCAAACTGTTTAAGCCGCTTACTTGTAAGTGGCCCGATCTACTACTACTGCATATCCCGCATTACGCAGACACCATACTACAGGAGGCTGGAGGGACAGGTTGGCATCACATCCATGAGGTTCATTTAACCGATAATTGTCACCAGGAGGTGGGTTTGAAATCAAAGGAAAATAGTTGGGAGAACTGTTCTCGTAGACTGATATCCATCCATTAATGTATTTCAGAAGTCCTTAGAAGTTACACGATGCCATTCCACCGATCCACAGCTTAACGCACACGAACTTTTAACTGCCTTAATTTCAGGACAATAGTAGGAAATCCGAAGCAATATCACTGGATCACCGGAACCAACTTATTTATTGTTAACTATACAGTATATGCAATCCTTGTATTCGTAAAATTAACCCACGCGTATTCATTTACCTCGTAATAGTGTCAAACCAACCTGACATTATGGTTTAGCAGCACTCACCCTGACAAAATGCCATTTAGACAAAGAAAATTTCTGCCCATATTGCATTAACATGGTCAAAATGACATTTTAGATGTGGGTACACACACTAAAAACTACAATGTCAATTGAAAATATGCTTCTTTTTACAGAAAGTCAATCGATTTGACAGGTGACTTTTAACCTTTTAGACAATTTGCCCCAAATAGAACTAGTTTCCCTGGTGATTAAATCAAATTCTCCCCTCCCGCAAACGTACCCGAAGCCATTGGATAGCTAGGAAGCAAACCACCCACCTCAGGAGTCCACGCGTACTTGGCCAGACGTTTTAGTTGATTTTTCGCCTTTTGATCCTGACCCAGCAGGAGGTAGCAAACAGCGGCACCGTATATGGCTGGAACGCTTTCGTACTAGAATGCAAAAGGTGCCCCTCCTTATGGAGAATTGGAAGGTAGGCTTTGGGCGTTACCTGTACAATAACAGCTGGCACAACACTTTTGCACAAAAAAGCACTGAACTGCATCTGTACAACCTGCTATAGTTGGGGATTTAAACCTGCTTCAGCAATATCATAGCAATCGAAATTCACAGATACTAGGTGACATTCAAGACACTGGATAAGAAGGACCTAGACGTTGCCTGTAGTCTCAATCAACAACGACTTTATAAAAGGCATTTCCTGTTTCATTGGGCGTTAAAGACAGGATTCAATCGTTACTTTCTGCTGCTTGGGGGGAGGGTCTCCAACCCCATAAATATGTCCCTGTTCGACTTTCTGGAAGTTTTAAATGAAGGCGAGCCTTCGAACATACCATAGAGTCATGCTCTCGCTCCGTCCTGCCTGATCAGCCATATCCAGTAGGGATAGGCTCTAACTGGCCTGACAACTACTCGAAGGTCAAGGTTAATCTTTTACAATAATCAGGGGCGTTTGAAGTCACCCGGACGCAAACCCGATTTGCGGCAGTCTCTGTCCCACAGCTACTAGGAGTACATACAGCGACCGTACCTCCTTTGTACACTCATCCGCCCTAAAGTTCATACCTATCAATTGTCTGGTTGGAGGCCTCGATAGGCACATAATATTGGCAACCCAGATATATTGAGAAAGAGCAGCGTGGACTTAGTTGAAGTGTGAGCAAATTCACCTACCCCTTCATTCATTTCAGCAAAGTTTTGAAGGGCCTTTTCCACTTTCATCTTATCACGCGACATTGCCATATGAAGATTGCACAGAAATCGATGTATCCTGGAGTATTGCATTTGACATGACCTTAATTTCTACAGGGGAGAAGAAGTAGCATAAAGGGTGCGTCGCATTAAGTAGGTTTCATACAGATAATCACTTTGTGTTGTAAATTGTCACTGTTTGTGGGTAGACATGAACACTGTCGAAATCCTAACCAGAAATAGCCAAAAAGTAAGACTTCAATACAAGGGTCGTTAATGCTGATAATGATGTGGAGACACTCGAGAGTGTTCATTTGCCGAAGTGTTGGAGGCTCAAGGTGGTCTAATTCTCGTGCGCTTTTATCACTTTTATTGGTCTTGACCTTGCAGTGGCTATTAGCCCGTTTAAATTGTCGACATACGATACCCACTAATCAAGGGGCATCTTAACGAGAAAGGGATATGAATGGAACTTCAACACGGGAACGGTTTTTCATGAATTGTAAGCACCTCCAGTACCTTTACTTGTCTACTGCGATTCAGCACCACCGGCAGTGCTGCCTGGGCTACTTCCAAACTCGCATTTTTCATTTAATACTCAAGAGCAATACAAATTCTCTGTTGGTGGCAGTGGGACACCAAATGCCTCACACCTCTTAGACTCTGTAAAGAGGAGTGTTTGGATCCTAATAGTTCATTTGGCTCCAATGGAGGAAGAGCATCTGATGTAGGCGGCTATATTGCATAGCCTAAACATGGAAGAGTACTTTGGTAGGCAAAGAAGCAAAAGGTGTTTTCAATGAGCTTAGCCTGTCCATCAAAAAATGTACTTGCAATAGCCTTGTAAAATAATTCCAAAATTAAACACCTTCATGTATTACAAGAGTTGAGAAATGCTCTAGGTAGATGTCTCAAGAGTATCTATAGTGTTGTCAACTTCTGCAGCTATTCCTATCTGCGAAGGCTGGCATGGGAAAAGTGTTTCCTTATGACTTAATCCATGATCAAAATATATTAGGCCGATCTGATAGAGCCTACGAGAGGCACCACTAACACTGGATTTGGAAGCGCAAGTTCCCTGACGGAAAGCCATTTTTTGACAGTCGATGCATGATAAATATCGCATGGGATCCTGAGGATGAAGCCAAAAATAAAACAAGGAATATGTGATGGAATGATATTAATCTTGATTATTACGTAAGGCCTAAATCGCTTCTGATTTGACCTCCATATTGTTGCTTTTCTGCTCCCTAACTTTATGTCTTATAACGTTCCCGTGCCACAAAATTGTAGAGGTTATTATCGTAACAAATAGTGCAGAATATGTTGTTCCTTCTAGAACCCTACCACTAGCAGCAAACCAGCCGTCTCGTAGCCCGCAGATTCAACATCTTCAGCATCCATGTCGGCACCGGGTTGACCAACAGTAATAGCATCGCTGAACCTGATAGTCGGGGTCTCATCACCGGCCTCCATGGCATTTGCCGTGGTGTTTACAGTCGTCGGCAGTCTAACCGAACGTATATCGCTGTCCAGGCAGGCGGTGGTGGAGGAGGCGAAAGAAGGAAAAATGCGATACAATGCTAGCGAGAGACAGCACTCCACCATCGCGCATAACGCGTCCACCTCGTATTCTCTAGCCAAACGAGCAACATTGAAACTGCGAATTGCGAGATTTGTGTCGCCTCTATACCTGTTGAAGTGGAAATATAGTTCAAATGCACGTCTTTTTGCTCTACTTCGAGACAAGATTATTATTTCTTCCTTCAACTAGTTTTATTATTTGCACAAATTACCTTCGTCTCGACCAAAACTTACGTGTTTAAGACGTTTTATGCAGTTCTCAAAGCACTTTTTCCAAAAATCATAGTCACCCAGCGCTGTGTCATCTCTTTTAGAACATATATTGGGGATGAATACAAGCGCTTACCCAATTATATGCCACCCTGTCGATTGTTTGGGCAATCACATGGCATGCGTTTTACTAAAGGCAAGTCTGTTAGTACCAAATTATAAGTAGATCACGTATTCAAAATTCCCCTCTTCCACCGCCTTAGTGAGTGTCATTTTACAGGTCCTGTAAATCCTCTCGAGGAGTGCTCTCCAACCGCCACCTCCGTGGCGCAACATTAGCCTGTGTAACAGGCACACTTACGCACTATACGTGTCATTTGAAAGCTTCTGTTTGTATATCTCTGGAGCAATTATAGCAAAAAATACTATTGCCTTCATAAAAGATAGAAATGTGACAAGAGTAAGCTGCAAAATCTACCCGTTGTCATCATTTTTAGTGAAAGTGAGGAGCACACTGACGTTTTGGATGTCCACAATAACACCAGTCGACGTAAATAAGAGTACCGTACCGATAGACCGACGCATTTTCGTTCATGTTGCGTAATGTTATCATGTAAGCAAACGCATTCATTTTAAAACTCCCTAAAAGTTGTCACAAGTCATTCAATGTGCTGTACTACCAGCGTCATGAAACTGATATCAGAGACACGTTTTAATTCATTTACGAATTAAAAGACCATGGTAAAGTATCATCCTGCCATTGTCAATATTAGTGAATCGCCGTGATTCCCCATGGCAAAACAACATATTACTACATCCTTGATGCAATAACTTAAACGCTACAAAAGGAAAGCCAAAAAAGTGTAGAGTGTAAAATTGAAGGCGAGAACTCCACGCAAGTGGGAAATCCCTCCTACATGAACAGTACATCTTCTCCCTTTATCATCCCTCAGGGAAGGATATTTATGTATTCCTCTTCGATCAAGTAAGGCAATTTATTATCTCTGACAGCTCCCTTCTGTGAATTGGCAACCCAGTTCCACACCACAAAGCTTTTAATTCCAGCTGGCTGATTTTGATGACATTGCATAAAACACAGTCAAATGGTGTAGTAATTTTACCATTTTTGGGGAATCAAACATGAAAATGTGATGTACTTGGAATGGCAGTACATGAAAATAATGAGCTGTTTCAACACCTTTCATCTGGTTTCACGTCCCAAAGTAATCAAATGCCTGCAAATGTTTTGAATTTAGTAGAAATTTCAAACTGATGTGGGAAATTCTTGGCGGTTGCTTAAAAGGATGCAGTAAATGAATTTTAACACTTCTCTTGTAACCTGGACAAACAAGACGTTCACTATTATAACATGGTAAGTGCGCAAAAGTAGTCCATTCCTTACCAATAATTGAACCCTCGAACAAAGTTAAATCCAGGATCCGACTTAGCAGAGGGTTGAGCCTCCAGAACCCTGTGCAAGTACTCCTCCGCTGTCGACAACTGGCCAAGGCGACGGTAAGTGCTAATCAAGTGGGTCATTGCTCGATAGTCATCTGAAAAGAAAAAGTAAGGAATGAATCAGGAGAGATGACACAGTAAGGTCACAACGTGTGGATGTAAATGTCAGGCTCTAGTTGGCCATTAATTTTGTCTTACCTGGAGCAAGTCACCTGAATGATTAACCCCGAGGAACTTCCAATAGACGCATAAAGAAGGATGACGGAAAGGTAAGCTACTTGCTACTTTAGGGAAGATACTGTACTGTTAATACCAGTATAGGTTTACTTTTTGAAGGCATTGCAAACGCAATGATAAATCTGCTCCATAATAACTCGAATCTCATCAAGCTATAAGTCATGAGTAAATCAAATGGAAGCAGTAGGATTGGTCTGGGATCTAAACAATTTAATAGTCACGAAAACGGCCCATACACTATCGTAGGATTTGATGTACCAGTAACACTTGGATTACTTGTTTAACTCCTCATTTTGCTCTCGCAGACACTGAGGGCTCCGCCTTTGTACTTCTCAACGCAGTTCACAATCAGAACAAAACTCCAGATACAGTGAAATTTCCAAGAGGGACTAATGACGTTGCAGCCAGACATGCCCTCAGATGTACGCAAATTCGTGGGTGATTTCCTCATTTCCAACTACGCTGTGATAGCTGACGCGGGGAGGTTGACCAAGGGGAACTACGGGGACTTCGCTCAAAAGGAGAGGGGGGCGCTATTTAATCTTTCGATTGCTTGCTTACATCTTCGTCTTTGATTACGTGGGCACTGATAGCTCCGCCTTTGTACTTCCGCTGGGTGGCATGACCTCCAGACCATGCTAGTAGCCTCTCAGTCCTTCTGTACGTCGACAATACATTTTAGGGCCTAGTATTATAAGTTCTTTCGTGTTTTGGAAAGACTCAAGACTCCACAGTAACCATCACTTGATTGTCATTTGGTCAATAAATTTATGCTAGTGTGAGGTTTGTAATTACTTATAAAACATGAAGATTCGCCATCAAAGATCTTTCATTGCAATGGAGCCTAGTAACCAGGGTCGCAAAGAATTCTTAGGTTGACATCTTGTCAGCAAGGGGTCAAACGTCTTGGGGTAAAAAAAGGAAAGTGCATATAAACGAGCGAATTGTATGTTGGGATGTCAATATAAGCAATAAGAAGTCATATTTAGGATACTTTATGCTTAGTTCCACTTCTGCCACCAACAATGGAGGTTAAAGATGGCCTCAACTCTTCTATCCCTTCTCAGGGACTTTATCTACTAAACATAGGGGTTGGTTTAATCCTTCTTCTCCAATTGGATGGATCAATGTCGTGACGTTGCAGACTTCACTGCGTAGAAGGGACGGTATTTCTAACTCTATAAAAGCTTGTCCTTTCTGCAACAGGACAAGCTCGAAATTCCCCTTGGATAAAATACACCTTCTCTAGGAATCAAGATGAACGTAGACATAGTTACCTCAATTTCTCCCTCTTTTACTTCCCAACCGTCCTTTCTATTTCATACGTGATCATATAACTACCTAATATGAGCGTTGAAAGGTTATAGGCATAAATCAGAGCTTGGCAAAATATCATTAGAGAAATATGGAGGAGGAAGAGGAAGAGGAAGAGAAGAGAGAAAGAGAGAAAGAGAAGAAAGAGAAAGAGAGGAAAGAAAGAGGGG